TTAACCATTGCTTTTGTTAAAAAAAAAAAAAAAAGAAAGAAAGAAAAGGATAGTGTTACCCAAAAAGCTAATAAGACAAAAAGATTCTAATTCTAATTCTCCCAACATAATCCGCCACAATTTATCAAAGATGTCTCCTAATATCATTGTTATTACATCATCAAAAACTTAAAAAAAAAAAAAAACAATGTAAAGGGTTGTTGTAGCAGACATGTCGGGGGCAAGAGTCTAATGTGGTATTTGAGTCACTCCCTCTACTAGTCTTTGACATCATTTGAGATTTACATGTTTGTAGTCAAATATACAGTATTTATTAAAATTATGCTTAGGGATTACAATTTTTTATTTTTTATTTTAAATTTTAGTTGATGAGGACTTTTCTCTTGTATTAATATAATTATTTTAATGAGAGTTATTTTATTTAATTTTATTTTTTTGAAAAGTGAAATTTCATACAAGAATAAAAATTGGAAATATTAATATTATTTTAATGAAAAAGTATTTATACAATTTGAATTATAATAAATTACACAATCAAAACTATTGAATAAGAATATAGTCCTTGATATTAGGAGCTAACCCCCATTCAATAGTTTCTGTTTAGTAATTTAGTAATTTTTATTTAACAATTCAAAATAGTTTAAACTATAAGATTTTTTCGAAAATAGAAATTTCATAAAAGAGAATTAAAAATGTGCATGCAAAGCGAGCGCTCTACATTTTGAGCTACATCCCCTACTTTGTTACTTTAGTATGATTTTTATACCAACCCAGTAACTAATTAACTTCCAATTCAGGATATTAAAAAAAAAAAAACAAAGAACAAAAAACTTGCACCAAAAAAAAAAAAACAAACAAAAAAAATGGCCTCAAATTCTTGAACCAAACACGATTTAAGGCCTAAAAAACGGAACTTAATTTTGGGCCGAAGGCTACAAAAGTCCAAATCTTATAATATTTCAAGCCCAACATCAAGCCCAAACAAAACTCTCACATATTTATTTTATTTTTTTATTTATGTCAGGAAATTACAACCTCTCCCTCTCCGCCAACACCTAACTAACTGTTGATCCATGGCAGCCTTCGCCTTCACTCACCAAATTCATCACATACTCCCGACGCCCGCTTCCGGAAGAACCAAGCTCAGACCCAAACGAGGCAGAAGTAGAGTATCCATCCAAGCTGTTGCAGCCCCAGTAGCATCCTTCTCCAACCAGTTTGTTCTTGAGCTAGCGGAGTCTCTGGAAGATTCTTTCCCATCTACTTCTTCTTTGCCTCTACAGAAGCTCAGGGACATTTCATCCCAATCCCTTCTCTCAACCCAATGGCCTTCTCGAAAGGACGAGCCTTTTCGCTTCACGGACACTTCCTCCCTCAGGCAATCGGAAATAAAGCCAATTGCTCACCCACCTGAATTCCCAGCTTTACTGGACAATTCAGGTGATCCCCAGTTCACGAATGTTGTTATTGCTGATGGGTTTATTATTGATTCTCTCTGCAATTTCTCGAATTTGCCTGATGGTGTTTATGTGGGTAGCTTGTCGAGGTTGTCTTCAGAGGGAATTGCGAAAAGGGTAGCGGAGCTTTTGGGTGATTTTCAATGGGGTGATTTGTTTTGGTCTGTCAATGGGATGGGGGCGCCTGATTTGATGGTGGTGTATGTGCCAGAAGGATGTAGGGTGGAGAATCCAATTTATTTGAGGTATATTTCGGTTGAGGGAGGGGATGAAGGGGCCAGGAAGTTGCCATTATCTAATCCGAGGGTATTTGTATTGGTTGAGAAGGGGGGAGAGATTGGCATAATAGAAGAGTTCGTTGGTAAAGAAGTCAGTCAGTGTTATTGGGCTAATCCGGTCTTGGAGGTGGTAATTGGGGGAGGAGGAAATGTTAAGCATTCTTATGTGCAAAATCAGTCCTTGAGTGCTGCCCATATCAAGTGGACTTCAGTCAGGCAGGTAAATTTTTTGTGATTGTTTATTTATCATCATGTTAAAAGTTCTTAACTTGAGTACATTTAGTTGGTATTTTGTCAATTTGTTTCAACTGAGGTGTGGATACTAGGATGGTTTTATTCTTTAATTCTTGAAGGGCATTATATTGTCATTTTCTTTTGAGGAGAACTTGGAGGGACCAAATAATCTTTGGGGACTCAAATTAAGTTACATAAGGAGAGTTTGGAACAGCAGGTAAGTGCATGGTCATAAGTTATAGAAGAAGCTCTACTGGGATGAGGAAATCATAGGCGATAATAAGTAGTTAAGTCTGGTGAGTAGGTGTTGAGAGTGAGGAAGAAAGGGTGAGAAGGCAAGTGAAATTAGAAATTCTGCACTAAATTTTTATTCTTCCTCATTTTCGTAAGAGATGGGCTGAAAAGCCTAAGAGATGCTGCTTTGAATGTATAGGATAGAGAGAGTGATCGATTGTAAATCATATTTTTAATTTTTATTGCTTTCTGTCAATTGTAGGGGTAGCGGCAGTGCTAAAAGTCCAAAACTGATTTATTTAAGATTTAGAGATATGTAACTAAACATAAAATAAGTCAGCCATCAAGAATTGAAGTATCTGCATTTCAGAATTATGAAGGTTCTTTTTAAGAGAAAACTTCGGATTTATTCATGATTGCTTTACCTCCATAGCAGGTCTTCAAAGCTCTTATTCTATTCTATGTGCAACTTGACTTTAAATATTTTATTTGCAATTTATTGGAGAAAATTAAGGTCATGAACTTAATGATAGTTTTTGTTGTTTGGCCAAAAAAGGAGAAAAACTAATGATGATTGATAGTTTACAGGAATCATCTAGTAGCTATGAGCTTGTAGAGGTAAGCACTGGTGGAAAATTAAGCAGGCACAATGTCCATGTTCAACAAGTAGGACCAGATACGATGACGGAGTTGACAACATTTCATTTAGCTGTTGGGGATCAGACACAAGATCTGCATAGTAAAATAGTTTTGGACCATCCACGAGGTTATTCTAGACAACTTCACAAATGTATTGTGGCTCATTCATTAGGACAAGCAGTTTTTGATGGGAATGTAAAGGTCAACAGGTAATTCTTGTGTGCTTTTCCCTTTTTTGTTTGTAATTCGCAAGAACCCTGTTATTAAATTTCATGAAGTTATTATTTAGCACATACTGTTATGGTTTATTCAATACATTATACATTCATTGGGAGATTGATGTAGTAAGTTTCTTAATGATCTCTTGTAGGGCCTAGGATTGAAAAAGGCGTGGCTCTCTCGTCCTAGAAACTTGGTTCTGTTTATTTCCTACAAGAAGTTCCTAAAGAGACCATGATTTATGAAAGTTGAAACTTCATCATACAATTGCTTTCTGTTCTTTATAATATATTTAGAGAAATTGGGCGAATTTAATTCCATTCAAATACCCTCCTTTCAGATTTTTTGTCACAATAGATGCAACTTTACATCTGCAACTTACGCTATAAAACATTTTAAATAGCGTGGATGGTTTTTCACTGATTGTAACATTTTTATGCAGATATGCACAACAAACAGATGCAGGACAACTGACAAGGAGCCTTCTTCTTGAACCTCGTGCAACCGTAAATGTCAAACCCAATCTCCAAATCGTTGCCGATGATGTAAAATGCTCCCATGGAGCTGCAATAAGTGATTTAGAAGACAGCCAATTGTTCTACTTTCAAGCACGCGGGATTGACTTAGAGACTGCAAGAAGGGCTCTCATCTTTTCTTTTGGAGCCGAGGTTATTGACCGACTGCCTTATTCTATTGTCCAAAGGCAGGTAAAAAGTCATGTTAGAGAGTTGCTGGAATCCACACAAAAAGCTTCATAGGAAGAAGGGTGGTTGATGGTATATGTATCAATATGGTGCTAAATTATTCATTTTCGTTTCTTGACATGAAGTCAAGTCATTACTCAAAAGAATTGTTCTTTTTGGAAATGAGTGGATTTAGAAGCTGCATTTGTCTTCCATGCAGTAATAAGCTTGAAAAATAAATGTAATATTGCATGGTATATCAACTGACTGCTGAAGTGCTAATCTTCGTCGACTACTGTTCCTTCTTTACTTCGATTTCAATTTCTGTCTTGATGGTGTGGTTCCTTCTGTTATGTTATGATATCCATTATGCCAAATCTGAGGGTTTCTTTTGCTTGCCATGCTTCTTGCAAGTTGCAACTGTGTATTCGATAAGATGAAGATCCATAGACATCTATGTCTTCCCCTTCTACAATGAGACAACGTCTGGTGTGGTTCAATCTGAAATATTGCTTCTTTAACTGGTTCAAATTCTGGTGCAGATTTCATGTTTTGATAAAACTTAAGATTGATCCAAAGAATCTCTTCCACTAATACTTATGGACTCTGTAAGATCAGATGCAACCAACAGAGTGATTACGAAGAGGCTTGCTCTCTGATGTTACACAGAATGGAGAAAGAATGGAGAAAGAGGAACAAAAACAAGTCCATCCATTACATTCTCATCAAATTTAAGAATGCATCATCTTCTGGTTATATAATTCCAACTAACTAAAAACTTTAATTTAGATTCAAGATCATGGTTTAGATCAGAAACTATCCAACTACACATCTTATCCCACATCGACGAGGTAGGGAATCCATCCCTCTTTTATATATGACACTTGCAACACATTTTTACTGTGTTCGTAAAAAGGAGAGATGGTTGGCATCTCCCCTGACAGGGACGAGAACAGCCTTCGGGCTTACCTGTTACCGACACATACGGTTAAGGCAACCCACCGAAAGGTGGATCTCTAACCCAATTTTTTTCCCAGGAAGGGGCACCTCCTAGTACCACACAATAGAAAGGGCCTTCCCAGATTAAAAGTCAAGGAAAATAAAGAAAATGAGAAACAAAATTATTATTATTATTATTATTTTTTCTTTTTTGCTCTAAAAAGGCATTTTGATTTTCCTACATTTCCATCTGCAGGTTTTCATTTCATTCCATCCTGAAACCAAAATTTCAGGGATCTAATTAGCTCTTGCTGACTTCCTAGTATTAATCTTTGCCACTATCATTTGGAGTTGCTCCATATGTACTTTTTTGGTGTAAGATCCAAAATGCTCACATGATGCCCCTCAAAAATTGGTCACTCTGCACAGTTTCCTAAATGCTTGCTGAAACCTGGAGTTCCAAGGTTTTAAGCGTTGTTGTCCCCTTGTATACTGAAATCACTAGTCCCCATGTGGCACAGCGTGAGAAGATTTCAAAGGTATTTCCCTGATGATTTCCAAATTCTTCCCTCAAGTGATACCACCATAACAGTAACGTCATCATGGTACTTCCTACGATCTCCTTGTGGAATGTCCAGCAATTCATGGAAATCCAATCCTGCACACAGCCAGAATAGGGATTACATTCAGCCAATCCCTGGAAGAAAAATGATAGATGCGTAAAAAAAAAAATAAAATGAAAAGTTTACCTGCTTTCTTGGCCGCACGAGCAAGAACTTCCTCAATCAGGTGCTGTGCGGGGTCTCCATCGGGGTACTTCTCCATGAAATTCTCAACTTGAGAAACCACTTCCTCATTGCTTAGGTACTGATACAATCCATCAGAAGATAGGACCAAGAATTGATCCCTTGAGCAGAGTCTATGGTGATGGAGAGAGGGTGAGCAAGATATGTATGGTGCAGTACCAATGAACTCATTACGAAAGATCCCCAGTAATGCATCATTCCACTTGGGCTGCAGCAGCATGGATATTATTTTATTAGATAAGCTGGTTACATTCCTTAAATTTTTTTTGGCATATTTAAGTGCTTACACCATTAACAATATAACATTATTGCAATCAGGTTCATTCATGAACAAGCACATTTTTGAGTACCACATGTCTATTGACTTCTAATGTAGTGCAGTATAACATAAAACCATATGACCAATAAATGCAATAAAAAATGAATTGATGAAATATAAAATGCCTATATACACAATCAATCCATATGACCAAGAAATTTTATATATTAAGGCATGTAAAGTACCTGTTTCAAAGATCCTGCCCCAAATGCTCTGGTAACTTTCAAACGACCTTTTACTCTGTCATTGACAATGCATTGACTATCATCCGGGTGCTCATTCTTGATTCTTGTAACTTCCTGCATGTATAGAGAATTAAGCTCTAGTAAGTAAAGAAGTTAGATATCATAACTATAATCAGTTTCCAAAATGTAAAAGGAAAAAATGATAAACCTTTACATGGTTTCAATTTAGATGGTGCCAGGTCTTAGAAAACAATACAGAAGTATATATTGCTTGAATCATAGCAAAGTAAAACTTTATATCCTAATCACCATAAAAATGGAATAAAAAAACTTTATCATCATAGCAAAGCAAACATATATACATGTAAATCTCATTAAAAAAAGTTCTCGTCTATTCTCTCTTTATTATGATCAAAATGCTAAAAGTATACCCCATCTATGGATATTGCATATTTCAACCACACTTTGACTTCTGGCCAAAAAAGGAATACCACAGCTGTGACAGAAAAGTTTTTCCCCTTTCTTTTTTTTTCCCAATAAAAATAGTCTCACCAGAAGCAAAGTTGCTGGCAGATCAAAGCATAGCATAGTAGAAGTGGTCATTCCTTGGCCCTTGATTGCACCAATGTTCTTCCAACAAGATGAAACATGGTACAAATAGCTAATAACACCTCCCTATCTATTCCCACTTAACTCTCACTAATTTTTTTCTACCCTACATGATTTCCCAAGTCCACAAATTAAAAGTCCTCTCTAACTAAGACCATGATATTGGAACTGAAGTTTTCTCCACAATTAACCAAACATTCTCAAAAGCTTAAGACCTTCAAAGACAACAGCTACAGCACAAAACCTTGAGATTCCAAGAAACAGAAGGTATCTTCTAAATTCTCACATATTCAACTTTCTGGTTGCTTTGATTATCCTAAACCTTACTAGAATTTGGAGCAAGAACAGCACAGCTACAGAAAATTGCATATTTCACCCAATATTGCATAAACATGAGGTCAAGCAATTGTGTGTCGTTAATCGTATCAGGAATCCCAGCGAAGCTGTTTATACAATATAAGCAATTATGTGTGGTAAATTATATCATGAATTTTTCAAACAGTATCTATTAAATCTGGCATATGGAAGTAAGTCAACAAGCCACATAATTCATGTTAATACAGGCCAAAACAAATTGCATAAGAATGAACTTAAACAAAACAAACAAGATCAAATCAATATGTTTAATGCTATGAGGTTGAAGGATTTAAAGATTTCCGATACATAACACCGAATAACAACCAATGAATGAGAATTTTCAGAATTTAAAACTTACCTCTTCGATGCTTGTGCTATGATCAGTCGACAGCTGCAATGCAATCAACCTCTTGGTCACTGTAGGAGCTTCATTGGTTCCCTTTATTGCCTTTTCACCCTGAGCCACAGTCTCCTCCATGAAAGCCTCCATGCTTGACCCACTCTCGCCTCTCCTCCTACCTTCTCCACTACAACCAACTTCCTCTGGTTCATACCGTGCAACAATTGCCCTACTATCCCCCACATTCATAACATACACATCCTCATCCCTCATTAACACCACCAACAAACATGAACCCATCAATGCAAGCTCCGGAAATCTGTCAAGCACCTTATCTGTCATATCCAAATATGCAACCTCAGTTGCTTCAAGAGCTCTTGACAATGCCCTCAAAACAGAGTCATGATCAACTGGACCCTCTTTCCTTTTCCTCCCAGTCTTTGCAGCCCTCTCTTCCACTCTATTCTCTACTTCCTCAACTTTCTCCTTCTCCTCCAATCTAAATCTCCGTGGAAACAAGAAGTTTCCCCCTTGACCTTCCTTGTGCTTTGACAAACCATGCTTCAATTTGGACAGCAGCAACCACCTCTTACTCAAGGCAGAACCCGCATTGTTCACACTAATTGCATCATCCACTGAAAAGGCAAATCTATCTGACCCTGAAAGATCTAACCCATCTTCTGGGTCCTCCTCCGCAAGAAACTCCCACAATCTCCTCCTCCTAATCTCTATCCCCTCTGATTGAAACGTTACCCTCTTCGCCCTCTCCTGGGGCCCTCCTCTGGACTCATTTTCCTTAATTAGACCCTCCCCATCATTCTTAACTTCCTCAATAGACGTCCCAATTTCAGTCTTATTTTCAGATTTAGTTGTACTATCTGTTCTAGTTAGGTTTGGTGCGCTAGCTTCGAATTCATTTTCATTTTCAGTTTTCGTTTCGGTTTCTTGCTCAAGCTCCCAAAAGAGACCACGAAGTTCATGGAGAACTGCTCGATAAAGATTATCCATCAAGAACTCAGGCGCATCCGGGCCATTAAAGCCGTCATAAATCCCCACGAATAGCCACCCTTGCTCTTCGGAAACAACGACGTGGACGCGGTCCTCCCCGGCCTTCCCCAACGCCCACTGCACATCACCCTCGCTCTTTCCCTCCGCCACCGCTGCAGTCTCCTCCCCAGAATTCTCCCTCCTCCCAAAATTCAGCACCGGAACCACCCACGGCCGTTTCTTCTCCGAGAAATTCCTCAAGATTCCAGAGATACCCTTCTTCCTCTTCTTTTTCACATACATGCCACCCAACGGCGCCGAGAAATGCACCCTACCTTCAGGACCTGAGTTCGCCTCCAAGGGGCCCGACAACGCCCCCCGCTCAATTGGACCCGACATGAACAACCCGCCGCGCTCCATTGGTTCATGACCCGGTCCCGCACAGCCACGTGGCACCGGCTGCAGCGGCAACGAGCTAAACGACGACGTGCACTCGAACCCATTGCCGCTCACTATACTGCTCTTGACGCCGTAACCGAGAGTATCCTCAGTGGCATCGTCGTAAATATTGCCAAGTTGGAGGACAGTTCTGGGTGTAGACGTATTGGCACTGACGGAGGCACCCGAAATAGTCTTGAAAGCGGTTTCCGGTCCCGCCCGAGCCTTCAGGTCGTGAGAGGGAGAGAAGCGGAGGGAGTGAGAAGGCGAAAGGAAGCGATCAGAAGGCGTCGGCGAGAGAAAGCGGTTGGAGGATCGGACGTAGCAGAAGGAATGACCAAGGGTGTCATCCAACGGCTCCGACGCCGTAAAGATCGGGTCCTGCTGATGCTCCGGCTGCGAAGCTCCGGTGTGGTTCTTCCGCTCAGATGCCGCTTTGAAGCAAGGAACGAGCGTGCAGAGACCACCTCCCATCACATTTGATTCATTCCACTCCCCCCCTGTTTGGATGCCCAGAAAATTTGAAAGAGAAATGAAAACAAAAGAAAGCCGCTGCTGCTGCCTCCTCCTGCTGCAGAGAGAGAAACAAAGTAAAAACAGAGTTTTTTTTTTTTTTTTTTTTTTTTT